TCCAAACCATCTCAGTCTATTTTCTCTCATCTTGTTTACTATAGACGCTACACCAATACTACCTCTCACATATTCGTTATTAATCATATATATATATATAGGTGTACCATATTTACACATCTACGGTAGAGGTTTTTTTTCCTGTTTTATAATGATAAAAAAAACACAACTCCGGTCAAAAATGGGCTCGACATACAATAGAAAAAAAAGGATTCCAATTAACGATTTCAGAAGAACCGAATTTTGACAAATAACTACAAAACGTTATTAATAATCAAAACGTATTTTTATACTTTTTGATTGTTAATAAATGTTTGTTGAATAATATGCGTATTACATTTCAGATCGTACACTTAATTTATAATATATATATGTGTGTGTGTTTAGGCGTTTAGGCGTTTAGGCGGTGCATTATAATCGATATATCTCGTTATCTTCTCTATTGCCACGGTCTAAAAATCGATTCCAATAAATTATGTGAAACTCCATTCTACAAGCAACTATAAGATATAATAATTTGGTAAGCAATACAACAGTTTATGCACGTAATACCATCCAAAAGATATTGTAATAAATACTATTTTTTTTCAATTTTTTTTCGGCTTTTTAAACGAAACATCCAATGATAACTGCCTCCGTCCATGTTGTGATAGTTGCTAGTATACATACCAATGTGCATTCGGGTAGAAGTCTGCATCATTAGTCATAATCGAGGCATTCTTGTGGTTTCTTTCTTTTGGAATTATGCTGTAGAATTAACTATCTTCACTTGAGCTTTTAGTTTTCTGCACTTACAACCTATTGGTTCCAGTAATTTTCTTGTAACCTCATGTACTCATTCTTGTTTATCATAAAGCTCACCTTAGTTCATTGTAGACTATTTTTCGTTAGTGCCCCTTTTGTGGGTCAAGGCAATGATCCGTACATTCTTCATTATATTTGCATTTCAAAAACCCCAACCTTGACTCCTTAGTTCTCCTTAAAGTCCAAACTTGTGATCCATACAGTATTATCAAATATCATAATAACAATATGATATCATGAAATCTATAATTATTTTACAGTATATATATAGACCATTCTAAAAAATCTTATGGCAAAAATTCCTTATATGGTTTCGGCGCCCTTGCCTTCGAAGACCTGTTGACGCGAACGCAATGATTGCAAAGTGTACGAATCGAATCGCAGTCGTTTCGAAATTTTTTTTTAATTCGATTAAATTTTTTTTTTTTTACATCCAAACAGCATAATGACTCTAATCTAAAGTTGTAAGAAATCTCTCGGGGGAAGCTGGTTGATTCAGTCGTTATTATTATTATATCAACGATAATCGTAATCACACAACGAATCGATACGTGTCCGCCCAATAGTCGCAACGATATATTAATACGACGACTTGTACTTCGGTTGCCCATCCACTGCAGTATAACATTTATAAACATTCACTCGTCGAGGGCGATTTGAATAATAATATTGTTGGCATGCCATACGTGCGAAATGTCAAGTTCTTAAAAATGTATTTCATACTTTTATGGAAATCGATCGAAGCTACGTATATGTAGAACAAGACGTAATATAATAAATAACAATAAACGTTCGACGAGTAAACGAAATAAAAAAACATAAAAAGTCACTTTTACTGTGAATATTTATTTTTGTTGTGTTTGTATACACAAAAATAATGGGAAAAAAATAAATATGATTTTTGTTTTATATTTTTAATCAAACACGCATGCACATCGCATTCACACACATAAGTCAAATTTTATTGTTCGGTTATTTATAAATTTTTTTTTCTTCAAAAATTATAATCATCAATTCTTTTCGAATGTCTACTTTAAAATATATAATTATGAAATTTGAAACTACATGAGATCATACTACTATCAACTTATTTTTTTTATTATTTGAAGGATATTTACAATGTATCGAACGATGGAGAGCGGGGAACAAAATTATATGATGTAGGGCCCAGGAAATAGTTTTTGTTCAAATAGTCGAGGAAATGAATGCAGTCAGTTGACGGACGGAGAATTCAATATTGTGAAACGTCAAGTAGTCGCTATTTAACCAAATTACTGTGCCGAAGTTAAAAAGTTTACCTAGTACGTGATACGTTGTAATATTACAGAACGACAATTGTAGATCACATTGCGGATTTCAGATGCTAGATATGTTTTTTTTTTTTTTTTTGTTGGATAAGATACGAATAGCTGATTAACATGGATCTATTTGTCAACATATAAAGATAAAATATATACAATATAAAATATTAATATAATTAAATATTATACCTATTTGTACCTATCTAAATATTTATATCTATGGATCTATTTCAAAAATTACAATAGAATATCGTTTTATCCATGATTAGTGTATTTTTTCTTCCTGGGAGGTTAGTGTGAATGTAGTTTGCCTCTTTCACTAGATGTTGATATTTTGAAATACACAATAAGGGATAGGGAACGCTTAGACCAGATATTTGACACGGCCTCAATTCGCTGGTGTTTTCTCCTCAGTGAGGTGACTTGTGACAGGTTTCCGTGACGGTTGAGTTGTGGTTAATTAAATGGTAAAATAAAGAGACCAAAAAAATAATATATTGACCAATGTATTGACTATCCAAATAAATAAATATATGAATTATATGAAATGTGAAGGATGTTGTCCTCTGGTGACGGTGATGAAAAGGAAAAAAGCGTACTACAACGATGTTCTTTCACGACGGTCACGAGCAAAAGGTTGATGATTTGAGGCGATCGGTCGGTACGTTGCCACTGGTTCAGATAACTTAATTTTCCCTGTTTTCCGAGGTAGGTGGGTGGTATCGATAACGGTGTTGTCGTTGCTGGGTTGTGACTGGGCAGAGAGCGGGCGCGGCTCCGCAATAGCGATGACTTAATGTACCTGCACCACAGTGGGATCGCGTCATATTTATATGCCTATGGTCCATCTGGTTGTATGCGTAATCGGCTAATGCCCGAACGTTGTTAGTGCATATTTTTACAAATCTGAAAATTAAAATAAATTCAAAAACTAACACCTGCAACTACATCTTATAAAAATATGCACAATGGAACTGCACGCTCGAAAATACTCGTATAAGTACAAATTACGTTTGTTTTTTAATTTTATAATTTTTTTTCATCTCCAGATATTTTAATTGTGTTAGAAAAAAAAAAATGAAATAAACGTGAATTTATTATTTCGTTGAGTAGGCACTTATAGCTACGCTTTATTTTCAATTTGAATTTTATTAGACTCTGTTCTGTAAGAATTTCAGTCGATTGACTCCGCGTAGTTGCGCTTGCGCAAAATCGAAACAAAATATTTTGATGTTGTAAATGTAATATTGTTAAAAATATTATTAAGATGCCTACTTTAAAACAATATTATTTGATAGCTAGATGATGAATATTAAAACTAAGAAAAAAATTGTAAAAGTTCAAAAGTTTTGTTATTTTTGGAGAACTTAATTTAATTCTAACTTCAAAATTGAAAAGAAAAAGTTTTGAAAAAACTTAATTCGTAATAGCTCTGTGAAATTTTCATTAACCAAAAATTAGGTGCCTGCAGTGTTTAAAAAGAGTAAAAAAAAAATATGTTGCGTGCAAAACATCAGAATATCCAGAATGTTGAACAGCTATTAAGCATTGACAAAATACAATTAAAATAATAAAGATAAAAAAAAACAACACATCGATTCACGGACCGCATAGATGGGTAAATGTAGATTTTCACGTCACAGCCTACAAAAGATTCGATAAAATAATTCAAATTTTTTTTTAAAAAACATCACAACGCAAAATAAAAATAAAATATTTACCCGCGTTACTCCAGACACGAATATTATCGAACAATAAATTGTATTATTATTCTTTTATTTGAATACAGTATTGATATATTCGATCGTTGTTAATGATCAGAGGAACTATAGGAAAACTAATGATCTATTATGTATTGGGTAGTACGATACATGTACTACTTATTTATTAAATATATATATTTATTAGTCAAAGACGAGGGAATGGTAACTGTAATAATATTATTATTGCGATTCCTTCACGGCAGGAACTGAAAGCCGGTTGTTTTTCCCACGTGAACGTTAACTAACGCTCCTTTTTCGGTTTAGGAACTATGTATTTACTAACTTCGAACACGGATATTTATAAATTCTTAACTTCCGATGGAAATGGGTCAGCCGCTCGCGCTTTTGTCAATATTAGTCGTTTAAACTCAAACTTTTCCACTAAATCAACATACCGCCGTTGAGCGGCTGTCGTAGTCGCCACTGACCATAGAACAAAACACTCTCGTTATTATTATTAATATTATTATTTTTATTATTAGGTACGGTTTATTTAATTTTATTTTGTACTCATTTTTACGTACACTTACGGGCTATAACATATATTCGCGGGATGAATAGAGAAATAATATGTAACGCGCGTGTATGACTTTTATATAATCGTGTACGCCACGATGTGTATGCGCAACACCGCCTATATGCGTGATCGAACTTATACCATTCGTGTTGAGGCTGTATGAAAACAGAAAAAAAATTGAAAAAATATATAAGCCATTAGAAAAAAATAAACCCATAGAAAACGTCATACGAACATGTACATTATTTGTATGTAATTTATATTTATTAAAATATATTTTACACTCGTAGGTCATAAAAAATAATCATAAACAAAGTTATTACTATATAAAAAAAAAAATAATAATAATTATCATAAAATGATATTATGTAATACTAATCATAATTACTGCGTGTTCCTAACATAACCACGAACTATAACGTATAAAATCGTTTGAAAAAAAAAATGAAATCGGCAAATGAAAAATGTAAAATAATAACAAAAAATATTGTAATTGAAATAATGTAAATATGTAAAAGAATATTACATTAATTTTATAAATTATATATTAAATAATAATATTGATAGTTATAATAATAATAATATTGAATTGTCATACTGCAGTAGCCGAGTCGTCTAGAGGATGTGGAGATTTTCACAGTTCTTCATTTTCGTGTCTTCCTTGCCAAATACCCAAGTGATCATCTGTCTGGCTTTGAGACTGGCTTTTATGAAGTTTCTATTTTTGTACCAATGGTCGTGCCCTTCGTCATTGTTGGCCCGCTTCAGTCTGATCTGAGTAAGAATTCCCACCAAAAGTTCGTCAACATTGTGATTAATGCCCACAGACACCTCGATGTACTTGGCCCTGCACGTGCACGCCAAGTATCTACCCTCTATCCGACAAACCAAACAATAATATTATTTCACAGCACTCATAGAAAATTCCGGGAATATTATTTATTATTTACATATTTCGATTACATATTAACATCACTGGCTTCGTTTATATGGAGCATACATCCATCGCAATAAATACAGATACAAGATAAAATTTCAAAAAAATGTGTTTAACATTTTATTTTTTTAAAGAACATTTTCATATTTATTTTAAACAGTCAGGCCGAATTATGTAACTGTAGTGCCTATTAAAATTAATAGACTAATATAATTTTGACCAAATAAGAATGAAATTGTAATAGGTAATTGTTTGAAGATCCTTGTAGTTTGGATAAATTGTTTATAATCAATTTTATCCAGAATATGTAATACTTTTGAAACATCGTGTTGAATTCAATAGTATGCATCTACAAAATGTTCCATAAAGATTAATAAGAAGATTACGTACTAATCGTGTCTGAAATAATATTTGAACAGAACTCCATTTGTACAATGGTGTTGTGTTTTTATTATTACTCTAAAGCAGGGGTCGGCAAGCTTTTGAACCATACGGGCCATATTTTTTTTTTCAAATGTTTATCAAGGGCCACATTAAAATTTTTTTTTACTTATGATTTATATTAATAATTGTATTGCTATTATATTTGATTATTTTACATAGAAATATGATTGTAAAAAATACGATTGTTACCGGAAAAATTTAATTTTTTGACAAATTATATATAATGGCTTACCTTTGTTTTCGACGAAAAAGTATAAAGAATTATTAAAAAACCGATGTTCATTACAAATTTTTCTTTTTTTTAATCGCCATAATGTTTGGATTTACTTGTAAAATGAAACCATTACAAACTCAAAGTACGGGCGTAATATTAATAACTACAAACGCAAAGTAACTATGATCATATATTTAAAATTTTAATTTTCAAATATATATAAGTATATTTAATTTATCCTATGACTGAGTAGTGTAGCCATCATTATCTTTGAACCCGATTAGATAATAATAAAAATTTCATAGATTAAACTGACTATATAACTATACCTATAGAATAAATATCAACTTACTCGATTAGATTAGATTTTATTTATAAAGAAAAAAGAATTTAATAGTGTTGAAAATTATATGAAAAATTTTATTGAACAAATATAAAACACAAAAATTAACCACCTTTGTGCGAGCCATAAAAAATTGCTTCGCGGGCCGCGGGTTGCCGACCCCTGCCCTAAAGTATTATTATATTTTTGAGATTCGTGAAATTTTATGAAACATACTAATTACACACAGAATACGTTGTATTACAAATTTTTTTAATACTATAACCTGCAAATTTAATACATTAATATATAGATTTCTTTATATCATCGATTTTAAATATTATTTAAATAGACATTTTGAATTCTGATTTTTAAATTATATTTTAATAGATCTTCGGATAAATAGATTAACTAAACATATTATGTACGATGGTAAACCTGGTTAATATTCAGAGTTTTAACTTAGCGTATAAGATTATCGACCCCCAACATGCCGAAGTTTTTTTTTAGGAACCATATACCTTGAGCTGACACTTCTCTGCTTCTAGCCATATCGACTTTATTTCCAACCAATATGGCTGGTCTCGATCGCATCATTTCATGTTCTCGAAGGTTTTTCAGAATCGTCTCGGCTATTTCAAAACTGTTTTTGTCCACCACCGAAAAGATTACCAGAAACGCGTCCGCAGGTTTAGGAGGTCGGTCTTCTTTTATCTAAACAAAAAGATCATTAATTTGCTTAAAATGTTTAAAAATGTTTAACCTGCTTTGTTATGCTGCATAAATATTAAATGTTAACTTGTGTATGTATAATAATGATTAACACAAACATTATAATTTTATTTATCCAAAGCCGATCATTTTCACGCATCGGGATGTATAAATGTTATTTTTAGAACAATTTTTTGTTTAATTGTATGATCAATATGACCAAGCATTTTTGGTTATATTGATCATACATTGTATAAGTATTATATACATTTGTATTTCATTCGGAAAAGACCAATTTTAAGTAAAAAACAAATCTGACTGTATAACTAAACTAAAAATTATATATACATAATGCGCAAAATTTCCTATTTATTAAAATGTACCACGAAAACTAAAGTTTATATTTTTTTAAAAAATAGAAAGCTTTAGTTAGTATAAATCACTATATTTTGATTATGACTGTTATGTTTATGTAATATAGATATATGTATATGTAAAATGTGAATTTGTGCAAAGAGAGAAAAAAGAAAAATTAATATACTGTAGACTTTGGGACGTCTGTTAAATTGTATTTACGTTGTTAAACGGCGAAGGAGATCGTTAATATTACGTATACGTGGCAACTGAGTACATTGAAAATTTACTCTGAAAATTATATCACGTAAAAACGATAGACCGTAGCTAACATGAATCTATACTAGCTCAGTATGACGGTTCAATAGTAAATAAATAAATATTATAACACTTAGTAACATATCTTTATAAAATAAATTTACCAAGACTTCTCTTTCATTGACAAACTTCAGTTCTGATTCTTCACCATTTAACATTATGCATACGGATTGCATTGATGACTCGTAGTTGTCTATAACAAGGAATAAATATTACATAAAAATGTGTACATATATGAATGTGTTGATGTGTAGATTTTTTTTTACAAATTTTGTTATAAACTTTTTATGTTGTTATTTAAATGTCACTGCGGGAAAACAAGAGCGTATTTGAATATACACTGTTTTTACACATGTATTTTTTGCGTACAATGTATGTATATAATATGTACACGTGTGTGTATAATTTAAATTCGACGACGTATTTTTTTTTTCTAATACGATATATAGTATTGTCTTTCAATGTTTTTGTTGCTTACATTGTGTTTGGTCGTGAACACTCACGAGCAAATCACGAAGTGCCTTAATTGCAGTCGAATAAATCTCTAAATTTGATAAAATTTTATTTTGTTATTATTATTGTTTGCCAATATACCTAGTAGGTACTTATAATTTTATATCCGTATAACCATTAACTATCTATAATCAATGGTATAACTAATAAGAGTAAAAATTGCAAGTAATTTTATTTAAAATTAAATACAAAATAATTATTATCGTCTCGACCGAGTAACAAGATAAGGTAAAATAATTCCAAACATTATTTATGATCAAATAATATAATAACGAGTAAAACACAAATTTGGATTTTCCATTTTCAAATTGATAAAAACTAATTTTTTGAAATTGATTTAAGTATATCGATATAATAATATGTACTAGTGATGGACATATCTGGATTTAACAAATCTCAATTATTCGGATTTCATGGATTATCCAATTCAAATATGCTTTGGAAATTTTTGAAATGAAAGAAAAAAATTTATTTTATAATTATAATGAATGTATCATATACATTGTATATACATAAAAACCAAATTTGAAAAAATTTACCAGGTTTCAAGGTTTTTTGTGATATAATACATATTAGAGCTCTTAAAACACGTGTCACGGAATTCACGTGTACACGTGAAATACATGTTTATCCAAAATATATATCCATTTATACAATGGTAAAATTAATAATTTTATGTTATACACTTGAAGTCTTAATAAAATATTAATAGTACAGTATTAAGTTAAGGATATACGTTTTTATTTTGGATTTTACACGTGACACGTGACACGTGAATTCCGTGAATTAACGAGTATTAAGAGCTCTAATACATATTACGATATTGTAATACCTTAACTGTAATTTATTTTTCTAAATTTAAATCGCCATATGATAATTTTTCAATTTCAATTTAATCAATATTTATCTAACAAATATTGGAATAAACTAAAAATATAATTGCATATTTATTTACGCGTAGGACAACGTATACGTTCATATTCTTGAAATATATTAATAAATTATACCATTTGAATATCTACTCATACATGTGATTAACCGGTGTTAGAGAGTAACGATCACATGATTTATTGTTATAAGTGGTCGTCGTCATCATCGGTTGGGTACGGAATATAATGCGTCGAAACGGGTCACCATCGTTGTCGGTATATACGCACACTGTCCTCGAACTTATCACAGATGATAATTAGTAGTAGTGCTCTGTCATGGCGAAAGGGTTTTCGGATCGTTTTGGCGGCTTCGAAGGGTTGGAAAATGGTTTGAGTGCCATTTATCAGTAAAGCGGTCGTCGTCACATCGTTGTCTTTCGCGGCGTATACAGTCCGCTGTCACCGATGACGCCAAGCGAATAATAAAACAACAACAATGTTATGTGACGACAATATTCTAATTATTATATATGATTCGGTGGGACCATCATAAATACGCAATATTCATTAATGTTATATATGTAAGGCTGCTCGTGTCAGACGTGTATATACACGATCAAGATATTATAACGATAACTAACATATAACTCGTCAACTAAGATCAAAGTATCTTTGTCTGCATTGGACTTATTGTGTTCGAGGGCCTATAATACCAATCATATTATTATACATATGTATTATGCATATGGAAATGTCTATATGTTGATAAGTTAAAATTTCCAGTAAATGGTTTTCCCTTTTTTTGAACTTTCAGCTATTATGATTATATTGCATATTACATTTTTAAGGAGAAAATCCGATAATGATAATTATAGCCTCTATCCTATATTTTTTAATTTTATTCATATTTTTTAAATCTAGGGGGTGAAAGTAAACCTCCTTGCACCCATCTCGCGGCACCTTGTGTTATATAATAGATCAGTTTCTAAACAAAAGATAGCTAATTTATACCTATTATTTATTAAGAACGCTAAAGCATTAGTTATGAAATACTGCTAAGACATACTAAAAAAATTAATTGTAGTAGAAATAATATTGACTAAAAGGAGGTTCCTTGGAAGAAATTAATTTGCTTTAAAAATGGAAGGTTAAATAAATCTGCCATAAATTACGAATGTGTTTTTCAAAGAATACGGAAATATCATATGCGTTTCTCTTATTTTGTGCAGTTGTCCCAAAAAAGATTAAATTGGATGCATATTTAATCTCGATATCAAAAAGTTGTCCAGTTTGTTTCTTATGTTGCTATCAAAAAAGCGATTATAATGTAGAAAATTAATAAGAAAATACAATAGAAGTAAAATAAAAATTAAATATATTACGGTTCTACAGTAATTTATTTTTATTTGTATGTTTATTTTATCTTTTTAAATTCATTTTTCTTCCGATCTAGGACAAACAGACGAAGCCATTTGAATGTGGAGACAAATGGACGTAAAAAAAAAAATATATATATATATATAAATCAGTAAATAAAATAAATAAGTTATTTATACTTATTATAATATGTAAATTTTAATGTCAAAAATATTAATTCAAAAAAACTTCACCATCGCGATTTGAATTAATTAATGAAATCTTACATGTACACTTGAATGCAATCTGTACACGACTAACACGGTTATAGATGTGTATTGTCGTGTCTCGTGTATCACCGTGTTTCGATAAAGTGTGATAATTATTACAAGTTATAAAAACCAACAAGTTATATAAATATATTGATATAAAAGGTACCTACTGCCAAAACGATAAAATTCGATAAGGTTTGATATGATACAATACCATTTGTTATATTATGAACATAAAATATCAACATAAAATATCAATGGTTAGGGCCTCACACGATCAGTAATACTGACAGTAGATATATTGACAGTATTTACATTACTGACAGTGTACTCCTTAAACGGTCAATACAAATTATAGTCAATATTCAGTATTTTTTTACTTTCACAGTAGTTCATATCAATTGTTGATACTGTAAATTAATTCTTTTAGAATCGTTAATTTTTTTAAGCTCTTATATAAAGTTGCTTCTTAATGTATTAATTTTTTTTTACATCTTCAATTGTAGAGTCGTTTTTTCAAAAGTTTATAATAAACTAAAAGTTTTTTATAAACAGAATTTTTTTTATTTCTATCGGAGTACTCTTTACAACGAACATCCCACAATTCGAATAATTGTTTGTACTCTGAAATAAAATCACGCAAAATGGCCCGATCGCGGAATTTGCGACTTGTGGTTTCACTTCCGTCATCCCTCGCTGGGATGCCAATACTGATGAAGTGTCAATATCGACCTCACACTATCAATGTAATCATCAGTAAATAAATACTGACGACTCGATATCCAATTTTTCCATCATTCATCAGTATGGTTTTTCCATACTGACATTACATCAGTACTCACATTAGCTTAATAAATAACCCCTAACTAAATAAAATTTGCAAATTTCTAATGTTCAGCAAAACGCAGAAACTCATAATTAACTCAAACATTCATGGTGTGATATAATTAACTAATACAGTCGAGCATAAATTAGTATATTAAGCTTTATAATAATAATTAGTATAATATTTACGTTCAATGATATGTGATGTTGTAGTAAGATATAATCCTGAGTGAGTAAATATAGTAAGTATTTTACCTAGTGCATTAAGAAGTCGATTGATATAAAAAAAATCGAACATATTAGTACATCAAAATAGTATAGGTATTTTTGTGGCATAGGCAATTTCGTATTATTTGTTGAACTTATAATGTAATTTTCAAGTCAATCGCGTTGTATGATAATTATATTATACGTTTAACAAATAATAACACGAGATTACCTATGCTTCAAAAATAACTAACCCTATACTATTTCGTTGTATTTATATGTTCAATTTAATTTTACATCATCCAACTTCTTAATGCTTTAGGTAAAATAACTATTGTAAGCTTTGTTTCCATAAGCTTCTTTCCTTTTCCTATATGATCACCCCTGCCATTAACCCAACTTTTTGACATCTAGCTTATAATAGTCCACGTAACACTTTTCGCCGATTTTCAATTCTACTTTCTTCCTGTAGACCGCCGAATTTCTAGTGTTCCGCAGCCATAGCACTTCAGTCTTTAACTCTGGACCGCGGTTTCCTGCTTTTTGTTTTCCAGTGTCTGCAGTAACACCGAGTATTTGGCGTCTATGGCCAAGAGTGGCTAGGGTACTGATGTTTTGGTCCACCACTATACCGCCGGACGGCGCGTGCACTAACTGACTTTTAGCCACCTCAAAACACTTTTTGTGCATCACACGATTGCACGCTGTCAAACGGAATATTCAAGTTTTAGATAGAATACAGTACTTTTACTTAATCCCGTGAGTACCCCAAAAATAGAATGAGGATTTTGATGATAGAATTGTATTTTTTAGAAACTTTTGTTTTTGTACCAAAATCTTATCTCTAGTCATATATGTCTACCTAACCGATGCATTCAACCATTTTCAAAACTCTAAAAAGACATCTCTGATCACACAGCGAACATTTCTTCTTCGTATACATCAACTTCTTAACTTTCAGGTGGCCGACCATATCACAAATACAAATTGCTTCCATGTTGTTCATTGTTTTTTAATTTATCTTCCACAACAAATTAAATATAAAAACAATAAAATATACTCTTGGTATATTTGAAACGAATAAATTATAAAACAAATTCGTAATACGGAAGCAAAATTAACGAAATCGATGGAAAATGTAAGAATAATTCTACTATCGAGGTATCAACAACTGTCTCCAGTGGTAACTAAGATAAACGTTAATTGATTTTTCGAGATTGCCTATGACAACTATTAAGTAATATTATTTTTATAAAACATCAAAATCACATGATTTTGATTCGCGCGGGATTTTAAAATATTCTATTCGTTTTATGTCGAAATAAAAAATAAATAAAAATTACTTTTTTAATTTTATATAATAATTTATATATACAATTTATTATTTATTTATTTATTATTTATATAATAATAATATATAGTATTTTCTGATGCATTAATATATTTTTCTTTATTGCAATTCTCTCTTTGATCATTTAATAGAAGTAAAATATTTTCAAACAGTTTTGACATATATGTAAAATAAATCATAAGATGTATATGAATTCAGTAGTATAATGATTATAATAAAAAGAACATAATATTACAAAGTGTATTTTTGCTGTAAGAATGATACTGTAGAATGATACATAATATTGTCAGTAATATTGATCGTGTGGGGGCCGCTTTATAAATATACCTTTATATATATTTTTTTTTTGACGTTCACACGGCCTCGTCCAAATGGCTATGTCCATTTGTCCCTATTCGCCAATCAAGGCCAGTTAGTGAACGAAGTATAACTTAATTCCGAAATCATAGAAATAATTGTTTTTAGAGACGTACTTTTTTTTGACGTAGTCAAATTTTCGTATTCATTGTTATGAGTTTTGTAAAAATTTATAAGACAGTAAATTCAACATAACGAAAATTAATATAACGCAGAGATATTGTCTTACTGTTTAAATTTCCTTGCCGTTTAGTTATAAATATATGTATTATACTCGTAGAATTAACAATATCTACCAACAAATGCGGTTGTGATATACATACGTATACTTTATATTATTTATAGTCCGATACACGTAATTCACACGTTATTTGTTTTAACTTGATGGACAGTAAAATAGGTTGAATGAAAACGTACACACACATGTTTTATATACATGGACCACTGAGTGAAGGATATTGCATCCGTTACGGTAACTATAATAATAGTGCGATAAAAATGCGAATATTGTCATAAAAACGCGACTCGTAACAAACCTCTTTGTCTCTCATAGGTGTTAATGTACTCAGACGTCATAAACTGACTTATGAGCGTAGTTTTGCCCACTCCTCTAGAGCCCATTAGTGACACTGTGTACGATGTAATGTCATCACAATCGTTTTGCTGGGACTGTTGTTGCTGGTTGTTGTTGATTGGTGGAGTGCATTCTTTGGTGTCGTCTTCTTGGGCTAGGCTGTTGCTCCTCGACCGGCGTTTCCTGAACGAATCACCTCTGTTTACGATACCTAAAAATTAGTGTTATACTATAGATTTTTAATAATGTTATTCATACATTAAAAAAATAAAAAAATACGCGTAGTACAAATAAAATGTTATAAAAATACTATAGCAAAAAAAAAAAGTTTTTATGTCACGTAATATTTTTAAATTACATCGATTTATTTTGTTAATTAGGCTATATAAAAGCGATGAGAATTGAATCCAGATTATTTTTTTATCCGGGTTTTCAAACTTTGTCAAATCCTGTTTCTTTCCATGACTTATGTACATATTGAGGATTTATTCCACGTTTCAGAAGTATTTATAATTTTTGCTATTGTATCACTACGTGAATAAATGTTAGGTTAGCAGATGATCTTAAGGAACTTAGTTGGAAATCGATAAAATCTTTAAGTATCAAGTATAAGTATCAAAAGAGTTGAAAAGTTTTGTCTTGGCTATACGTGTTTGTATGTAAGTACATATTTGTCATTTATAGAGCGTGTAGGTATTTCCTCAATACAGTAGATGTATTAACATCTACATCGCATTTTATTTTTCTTTCATTATTATAATAGTGTAAATTGATTATTACGTAAATATTATAAGTATTTTCAACATATAACTTTGTTTATTATAAAATATGCTTTCTAAATACCAAAACAACAATATTAATAGTTACGAGTGCACATAATGTTCTTCAAATACCTTTCGAAGTAAAACTAAATGATCTGAGTCTGTATGAGTTTTCGGGATCTTCGGGCTCTACTAGTTTTTTGTTATCACCTGGTGGTACATCCAAGAACGCTCCGGATTTTCTATGGTTTGAGTTCACTTTTCTGGAAGATGGTTTACGTTTGAAAGCCGTACCGTCTGAAAAACAAATTTTATTTTTAAAATACTATTCGTAGAAAACACTTGGAGAAATACCACGCACACCAAACATATGTATATATATGAATGATGAATAAAATCTGAGCCGGGGAATAGATCAATGGTGAGGCACTTTGCCAAAGAGTCACTCCAGACCACATCTATATATAAAATCGTCAGTGGCGATGGACTAAGTTGTATGTACATTGTACGTACCTGTCGGGTTTTGATCAATATAATTTAGTCTTTCCGTGGACGAATAACTGAAGCGAGATATAAAAAAACCAGTAAGACAGCCTATGCACATTAAATACCGTCAGTTTTAATTTTCAACATTTTTTTCATCCGGTCAGGAAGTAAAATCCATTATAATTTAATCCGTTAAAATGATCTGTTTATAGGATCGTAGAGGGAAAATAAGATTATTACGTCACATTTGATGTTATTTTGAATCGTGTACGAATCGATCTATATTTGGACACTGACCCAAGCTAGTGTCCCTTCAGTGTTATCGTTTTTGAAAAAAGAAAAACGTCACCGTCATCGTAACTGCTGCGTTGTATGTGCATTATGCATATTACACATATAGAGTTTGACTTCAATTTTTATTTGGTAGATATAAGTGAATTGCATGTTGATGTACTTCTCAACAGATGAATGAAAAACAACAATCGCTAACGATTTTGACATAATACCATTATAAATAACTTTTGGTCTGTAACCGTCATGTTATAATGATCACATTTTCCTTGTGAAGTGAAAGTCAAAAGTTTTAAAATAATTATTTAATTTATTGGAATTTTCAACTAATTACTGATTATCATATAGTCGCCAGAAAAATAAACTCCCATAAACAAACAAAATTACGGTACTTTTTATTTATTTATTTATAGAGGAAACAAATTATAATAGAGTACTATGATGTGCAATATGAAATCACTATCGAATAAAATGTGTATATGACCACGTACACTATGCCAGAATAAAAATAATTGGGACAAAAATAGAAAAATGGAAAATTGTATTATTGGTTATCGTCATATGGTTTAATTATTAAAATTATTATATTATATGTAATATTACGTACATTTTATGAGATATTTACTATTATTTATCAGTTAACTCTATATCATTCCCTAAGTCATGCGCTTATACCAGATATGAAATTTCGTAGTTTTAACATTTATACTTGTTTTATTTTAATTCTTATTTTTGGTTAGAAATAAAAAAACTATGAATTCATTATTATAAATGGTAAGTAGTTTTAAAAGTATATTTTCAATATATAAATATATAAATATGTCCCTACTAGATTCAATTACATTCTCTAACTTAATTATTTAATTTTACGCATATTATATATGTAACCAAGAGTTTAAAAAAATTCCAGATAATTTCAATATTTTGAAAAAAATTATATTAAGGTATTTTTATATTTAATAAGAAAAAATAAAATTTATTTGTCACATAGTGCCACTTTTCAATTTATTGTTATAGTTAAAAAAAAATATGATCACATTTAATAATATCATATTGTATTTCAGATATCTGTATTATAACCGATTATAATTTATATGAAGCTATAATAAAAGGAAAGAATGTGTTTGATAAACGGGAATGGGAATTAGATACGTACTATAAAAGTTAAACTGGCCTGAAAATGTATTTGACGTTATAATAAGTAATTTAAAGTAACGCATAAATGTATATTGTTCAAAATCAACCAAAAAATAGAAATTTTGTAATCGAACAAAGCTTAAATTTTAATCAAAGTTTTCTGCTTACTTAAATAATGAATCTGTCTCACGTCTTGATAGTAAAAATATTTATAATGTTCCTTCTAGTAAAACAATTAACTCAAGTCCATTAACAAAACATTTTTAAGAGACATTCTCAAAAAAAAAAACGTTGAAAAACAGAATGTATTAGGAAGTTCGTTGCTGTAAACGAATTCACATATGAATTTCAAGTATCATTGAAATAATCTGGCGAAACACTGATATCAAAAAATATTTTAAAATATCTAAGCTTTAAAAACTTCTACTTGGGCATCTAAAATATTTTTGGCTTTTAAATAAAAATTAGAGTAATTTTTAAGTATTCTACGGCAAAGCTCTAATAATGTTAATAGAGGCTAAACTTAAAATTTCAAATCATTTACTTCGATTAGGTATAGTCTATAAAATAAATTAATAAGTGACGATGAAGACGATTGTAATGATACTGAAGAAGATGATCAAGTTTTAAAAAAACATAAAAAAATTAAATAGAATGTTAGTTATATTTATAAAATAATAAATTATATAATTTAACTTAAAAATAATATTTTAATTAAATTTAAATAAAATGAACGAACTTTAACTTATTTTTGTTATTTTTATAAAACATATATTAATATTAAGAGAAAAAAATGTTGTCCCAATACTTTTTTATTTTATCCAACTGTGCTACATTTTTTGACTGTATAGTAACTATACAAAAAGCTACTAACGGTTGGATAGATTTTAAATGTATTTATAAATACATTAGAAAACATAATGCAACTGGATGTCAATTGTTCAAAATATTTTATGAACCTCAGAATATATGGTCTATTACTATTACTTTGTTTTCATTAATATTAATGTGGTGCACTATTTATTCTCATTCTTAAAATGCGGATAATGGATTAACATAGAAGTATAATCGAAAGTAAAACTATAAAACGTAGTGGTTCAGTGAATGTTCCTTGAGTTTTAGCACGTAAGACCACGGATTCAAAACTAGTAACGTCACGTATTTATATTAACTTAATATTTTCACACTTATGACACCCTCACGTCATTCACGTGAGATTATGTCAATATTTATATTGGTATAATATAAATATTATATCATAATAAATAATATTTTTTAATATTAATTACAATTACTGTATCAAATTTTTGTTACAAACGTAAACATGAACTTATTATGTTTTTTCTTTTGTATCTCTTGACTGCACATAGAAAAGATACTTGATTCCTGCTGTGATTTATTTAGTCGCTCATTGTTGGTGAAACAACAGCAGCATTTCTGATAAAGTGCTATGTAGTTGGAAACTGTATTAAGACCACGAATTTTGTTTTTTTGTATTTAGTGCATTCTTTGTTCATGATATCAAATAGGAACAATGACATCTACCTATGACATTTCTGCTAAAATACATGTATGTTAAACGATTTCATTCGATTCTTACACTTTCACTTTCGAGGATGACTTGGAGTAATCTGGTATCCTTTATTATATCGGGATTACTAGATTTAGAATATGGATTACCAGATAAAGATTTGGATGTCATGATGACTAATGGTTCACGGAAAGGCTGTTATTTGGCGACGGAGTATTATATAGAAATATTTGGCAGACAGGGAACGATTCGCTATTATCCAGTTCACCGCATTTAATTGGTATAAAACAAATTTTTTTTTTGTCGGATAAAATATCTGGAATCTCCGAACTCATATTTTAATATTTCTTTCCGACAAAATTTTAACTGATATTACTTTTACTAGAAATAAAACAAAAGCACAACTAGCTCAAGTTTTCCATTTCGTATGGCTGGAAATAATAAGCCAGTTGATTTAATGCAACGGTTATTATTGTATTTGAAGTTTCCTTGTTAAGATTTATAATTTTTAACCAAGTATGAATTAACCATTAGGAAATCTTATTTTAAATAATAAAATTGCTAACATCGATTACCAGTGATTTCAGATGGTATATATACTAGAATGTATATGATGAGATAGTCACACAGTAATTGATTAATTAATTTATATATTAATTGAAAAAAAATTGAAATTAAATTTATATTTCGTCACTTTTATGGTTTTTCTACGAACAACATTGTTGCAACTTAATTTTTTTCGGACTTATTAATAACTACCAGTAATTCGATAATTACATTTACATTTTGAAATATACTTTTAAATTTATAGTAATTTTGTTGATGACTATTTTACATCTGGATAGTTTTATTTAATATAACTCATTACAAATCGGAACATTTATAACTTTACTTTATTTAAAATCCCTTAAATTAAGCGATTAACTTGAACATTTGGATTAGTAGTGAACCCAATTAGTTGTTATCAACTGTTTAAATAGCTATGCATGTGTAGTGTAGTCATATCAATTGGATAAATTTCAGTTCTTGTACATTTCATATTTTTTACTGAATGAAAGCCTTATAGCACGAAACTTTATGAAAAAAGTAACACATAATTCATAATTTTATCACTTTACTAGCTTCAAAAAATTAATAAAGAATTTGAAATTCTGTGAAATTGTAAAATAGTCATAATGTTAAATAAAAAAGTTGTTATGAACATTTTAAAGTATCGTAGAACAAAAAATGCAATAATCGGTATTATAATTATAGATTATGAAAGCTTTGAAAAGAAGGAACACCTTAATGGATTAATATAACCCTTATAGATTTATTAGCTATTCCAATGAATTTAATAATTCACATCCCTTCCTAGTCTTATTGATGAATATTTATACTTAACATATTTGTACAACTTCAGCAGTGTCGCTTAATATCGCTGGGACGAAACAGTGTTGAAGTAGAAGAAAATTTCTATGAAAATAACGTTTATTTGATTATCATTAAATAGCAAAATATATGATGTGTAAGAACCATTATTTATTATGGTTTTTCAGATAAATTATAATTATAATTATAAAAAATAGAAATAAAATCGATTTTCATATTGTTAAAAATGTATTATGTCACCCGACATGGCTACTTAAAAAAATTAGGTATTTTACGAATAGGAAAGTTTATAAATCAATGTTTGTGTGACAACATGTACTCTTTGTCAATTAAATTTTTCGTTTACGAACAAATTAAAAACTGGAGACTACATTTTTCTCGTCTGTTTGACCGCAAAAACTTTAATGCCATCGTAATAAAATGGTCTTCGCCGCTTATCTGTCGGGTTTGATCTGAAACCACTATCGTTCGTCGTGTTTATACTTCAACGACGCAAAAAATACAACGCACACACACACACACATGTATATATATTTATAAATATTATATTGTACTCGACACGTAAACCTCACGCTACCACCATGCCATGCCGCTACTGCCGCCATCGGTGCAACAGGCGTTTTTCAAAACTAATTTAAAACGTGTATTTTATTATTACTTTTTCACCGCTTTTAATGGCCCAAAACGTCGCTCGCCAGCGACGTATTACACATACATGAATACACGCATACGTATACGAAACTGTACATAAAATATGCACAACTTCTCTCCCATAGTCGTAATAAACGCAGAGGATTATTCTCGCGAGCGGAAATAGAATATTTTACGACCACCATTACACCCTGTTGGTTGTGTAGGATGCAGCAGTATAAAATCGTTTTTCCACCAACCGATTTTGCAAAGTGTGCCAAAGTTCCTTGGTCAATTTCTTACGACATAACATTTTTATAAAATAACATATCCCTTCTATTGTACATGGTTTATGTACAAATATAATATGTATGACTGTGTATTACATATGAGATTGTGATGTAAACTTAAGTCCCAACGAACTGACCATGGTTAAGAATTATATAATTCGGTTTTTCGACTAATATAAACGATCGCCTGTCCAGGTGAATTTATGACATCGTCTTAGAAAAACCTTATGAAATATGTGTAACATATTATTTCAATTCAGTATGATAAAGTGTACGAAACAATTATTGTTCATTTGTTGGTCAAATATTAAATATATAGTTAAATGTACAATTAAAACTCGATTATTTATTGATTTCGATTACGTTAGTTGTCATGTTTGGTGTTCAGATTTTATACCATGTTATGTATTTTTCATCTTTATTGTACCGATTTTTAAAATATTTTTGTTATCACAGCTAGACCAACTCGTACAGATGGTGCCGCAACTACACTAACTTAGGCTGGTGTGTAAATTAAATTAATGCCCTTCCCCGCATCCGGATTCTGCAGGGAAACCGTACCACATTTGTAATCAAACTATTTTGAATTTCAGTTATACAGGCTGTAAAAAAACTTTGATGTACGATAATGTGTACAAACAAAATCAATCAATTGTTTTTCAATCGTCATAAGTAATTATTATTAAAAAATGGTTTTATTTTCTAGCTTTCTATATATTTTTACAATATTACCATTGGGCCTTATAATAAGCTAGGGTCATGGGCCCGTGTATTTGACAAACGGTTAACACACCCAATTATTGCGGCACTGCGTACAGAACACCATATTAATGTTCCGAAATAATTTTCAAAAAAGCAAAACACTTTTTTAAAATATTTGAATCAAAAACCTCCTGGATTTATGGATTTTTGAAAACGTTCGTGTTGAATTATTGACCACAGTGCCTTGCTGTTTATATCGAGCAAGAGTTTTGGAAACTGATAATTTATCATTCTTCCTAATTAAATGTTAACACATTACACATTGTTATTAATTTAATTTACCGTGTGCCAATAAATCGTTCAGCCTTGGATCGCTGTAACCGCTGCGCACGCTTGTCTTACTGTCACTGAGGTATTCGTGCTGGGCACCTATGGCTGCAGCCACCAGCGTCTTCTTTCGGATCGATCGTCCGCCACTGGTCCGGGCGCTCTGTGACCGAACCGCCGGCCGCCGGCGTTTGTTGTCCTCGGCAGCCGCCACCGCCGCCGCGCCGCCACTAACGTGCCTGTGTGGTGGTGGCGTGGACGCAGTGGCCGTCGTTGTGCCGCCTACGAGATGTTCCGTGCTGCCAGGCGGGAAGCCGAACGCGCATATGGACGCCGACCGGCCCTTGTTGTACATAGCCTCGAGAAGCAAACCGTTGTCATCGGTGGCCATCGCGGGTCGTTGTCAGCGATGGCATGCGATTAGGTCGTCGTCGACGTCCGCTCTTAATCTCTAACAATAATATAAACACATAAAAAATACTACTTAAAATCGTAGAGTCGACATGTTATGGTTTTATATATTTTTTTATTTTATTTCGGGCATTCGAATGAATGACCAAAAGAACGCATTGTACGAAGAACTATAAACGAATTATAATTTAGTTTTTGAAGCTATAAACATGTCATTCAATAGTTTTAATAATCAAGTAAATTTGGCGAAACGATGAAACCAATCACATCCCTTCTATCCATTCCATAAGATACAACCTTATCCGATTAATCAATTTCTATTATCAAATATGTTTTGCGAAAGTTTGATCACTGAATATAAATCAGTAGTTGGAGTGTTGATTGTAATCAAAATATTCTTACAACGGCAAATAAATATGAATATACATAATGCCGGATCTAGGGGGGAATGAGTGTACTTGCCCCAGGCACAGTTGGTATAAAAGCTCTTAAGTTCAACGATTGAACTGACGGTATGCAACACTACATAGAGAAACGAATACGATTTATTTTCTGTTTAATACTTTATCAATTCAAAAAATACAACAATATTGACAAGATTTGATGTGATTCTTTAATATCTAGAGAATAATTGATTCAATCAAATGTTTTATGAATAAAATATTAGATTGTCTCACTATAAAATAATTTGATTTAAATATAGTGATTTTTCAATAGATATTTTAATTTGTATAGCTTTAACTGTGTACCTATATAATAATTAAATTTTATGTTATCTTAATAAAAAATTATGGCTAAATAAATTTTCGTTCATAATTAAGTTATACAATTTGTTTAATAATTTTTATAATAACGTATATCATCATTATGGGGGTTAAATATTTTTTTAAAATTAACCACCAAAACCATCCATATCCAATATTAATAATGAAATATTAATGTAATAATAATGTATTATTAATATATATTAATAATACATTAATATCGGATATGGATGGTATTTGGTGGTTAATTAAAAAAAACTATTTAACAAACATAATGATGATATACGTTATTATAAAAATTATTAAACAGACTGTATAACTTAATTATGAATGAAAATTTATTTATTTATTTATGTGTTTGATTCAGTTATCAATATTTCTGTATAACTGAATCAAACATATAACGTATTTAATAAGTTGAATATGTTTAATATTACTAAATAGAAACCGTTTCTATGATATAAATTTATAAATTCAATTTATTTAAGATGTAAACCACCATAAGTTCGGTAATGTGACATTTAGCAATCAATCATCATTGAATATAAGTTATATAATATAAGTTTTATATCTCTCATTAGTACGTCCTGTCTTGGAGTTCAGTTCGTTAGCTTGGAACCCTCGCCAAACAGGCTTGATTGATAAAATTGATAAAATACAAAGGAATTTCATTAGGATGATTACCTTTAAATTAAATTTACACGGACTACCTATTGTCGAAGTCGAGAGATAGTATAAATTACTTTCTCTAGCAAATAGACGCGATGATAATGACTGTCAATTTTTATACAAATTATTAAATGGAACTATAAACTGCCCTGAGCTATTGAGCCTTTTTGGCATTAGAAGCATTAGAGACCCCACAGGTCAATACTAGACAAAACACATTATTTCCTATTGTATCCAGTAAACGTAATTTTGGTACCCATAGCCCCACAAACAGAATTTCACGATATAGTAATGAACATCTACTTGATTTCGATTTCTTCTTTAATAATAGTTATTTGCTCATTAGTTAAATACCATATATTTATACTACTTACCTATATTATATATATCTACTGTACTCGTTAACCCTAGTGAGCGTCATTATTATAAAATAAAATATTTAAAGTCTATAATATTTTGATGGATAATAAATTCAGAAAAACAGCAATAAAATGTATAACCATAAAAATTACACTCCATTGAAAAAAAATGTATCGTCAAAAACGTATATTCATACTTATAATATGTATAATGTACATTCTTTAAAAAATGCACCAAAAGAGATGGTATAATATGTTAACCAATATTATAGGTGTTATACATGAGTTCAAATTTATTCCAATAAATAAAAAATGGATTATGTCGTTATTGAAGTGTTTCCATGTTATATATAATATGGTTATGTTTCATTTAAATTCAGTGTTCATATACATATATATATATATATATATTTATTTACGAATTAGTAAATTTATTACTAACATTTAAAAGTAATAGTTAGCAATTCTATATACAATATTCAAACTTTATTTACCGAAGAGCAGGCTAAAGTACTGATTGATTAAATACTTTTTTTCTAATTAATTTTAATATTTTATTAAATATATAGTGTACAATTTATTTAAAATTTATTATTAAATTCATAATTACACACATTTTGATTAAAATGTCTTATCGAGAATCTGTAATCAAAAATTTGTTTATTGCTAAAAAAGATGTAATTTCAAAACATTACAACTTAAGGAAAAAATTGAGTGTTTGTTTAGTGTTATTACTAATATAGTAACAATTTAGTTAAAATAGGCTTTTGTACATTTATATAATTTGATGTCTTTGGCATTTATAACATAATTTATGAATTATTTTATCATTAGTTAATTAAATAATTTGACGAAAACACTATAAATTATTTAGTAAAATATTATAAAATATAGCAATATTGTTTTGCAGTTTATTTTTCAAGCCAAACATTTTAACATACCGTGTAATAATTTAATATGACAGACAGTATTTTATATGTTTAGCATCTACTGACTTACATGAGTCATAGAACAAAAGTTAGTATGCGTGCCAAACATCTTAATCAATTTAATATTTATTTATTTTCGGGAAGAAACCATAAGTCTTTTAACTCAGCTAAGAAACAAGTGAAGACATTAAATAATTACAATAAGAAATATACCAACATAATATAAACAATAATTATAATAATAAATTATAATAAAAATAAAATTAAAATTAGTAAATGAACATAATCGAGCTATAAAAAATAGATACTGCATATTATAAGTAGATGTAAGAAATATTTTTTTAGTAAGAAAAACATACGAGTACATTACTTTACACATTTTTTGAATTCTTACTTTAAAATAAAGTAAAAATATTTCAAAAGCAAATGATTTTTTTAATTAATGTTCAACAATTACATGACTGTAAGGAAATTAAATTAAATGTATTAAATTTTTAATAATTTATTTAAAATGCAGTCCATTAATAAATCTACACGTGATACAACATTTCTTAAAAACTACACGAAATCAATTTTTTTTTCCATTTTCTAAAATATATCAATTTTCAATATAAATCTTGAAAATTTGAAATATATATAAGAATATTTTGATTGATAACAATAAATATAATAATGATCAGTTTCAAAGTCGAAAATTATAAAAAAAAAATTGTGGGACGTAATTTCTAGAAATGAATTATTTTCTTATAATTAGTTTTCAAATTTACGATTTATTACGATTTAATATTTACCTAAATCATGTTATGTAAATATTATATTATAAAATATTTTTAATTGTCTTAGTTTAATAATTCTGTCAACTTCAAATGTGATTTAAGTTGCGATTAATTAATGCTCTAGTTATTTTCTTAAAAGTTTGATAAGAAGCGTAAATTACCTCCCTTGAATATTAACTTAAGCAAACATAAGAATATCGCAATAAATTTTGTAGCATAAGAACACTGGTTACCTTAAGTTGGACGTTGTAATCTAATTAAAAGATTTTTAAACAAATAAAAAAAAATCATAATACGAGTAGTTGCATAATCACTATTTTTCTCAAAAATTTAGAATATTAGAATATTTATAAAACATAAGTAACATGATATTACTTTGGAATATTGCAAGGTAAATTTTTTAAAAAAATAAATTAAAAGAATTTATTTACATTATTTAAATAATCATAAAATAAATAATTATGAAAAAAAAATAAAACAAACTATAATTATGATTTATGAATAAGCATAAGTTAAACATCTACAAGTATATACTAGGTTAATTTTTTTACATGAGCATATAATATTCTAGTTCAATGCGTGTAAGAGGACCCTGGATATTTAAATTACTTGGATATTTTATTGTTTTTTTACATCCCATAATTAGAAATAAACAAGAATACCAAAATGGTCGTATACCACGGACTTTTTCTATGGTCGATTAGTTTTAATAACAAAAAGATTAAACTGATTATTCAGATATCTCCTCACTATTAAAGTATTCTAAATCGACTCCAACATAATATTTGTGACGAAATTATTACTAGGTATTTAATTGTATATAAAATAGAGATGATTTAAAGGCTATAGACTCCTCTGAATTGAAAATTAAAATTTAAGAAAAAATAAGATTTATATAATTTTGAGTGAAATATTATTTAAACTTAAATTAAATTAAAATTTCCTTACATTTTTATATTTTGATATGTTTTCAAGGCAAAAGTCTAACGTTCAATTTATACAAATAGTTGATTACTAAATTCAGTTACTATAAGAGACGGAAATTTTCTGAATTGTTTGTGGAATTCACAAAATTGCAAAGAAATAACTATGAAACAAATATATTTGTTGATTACAAAATCTTGAGCATCTTGAGTTGAATAAATCAACATTAAAAATAATTTTGTGACAGCAATAATATTATTACGTTACAATTTAAATTCTACATTATTTTGTACCGATGTAACATGAATCTAATATGAATGGAGTTGAACGTCTAGTATTAAACCAGGATATTAATTATTTAAATGGTAATTAATATTCTTTGTTCTCATTTCTTTCATTACATTTTTTATAAAATTTACTTCTTTACGGTATGGACATTTAATTTTGACAGCATATTTGATTTACACATAATAATTTTGTTATATACAAATACAAAGTCTTAATTTTAGCCCAAAAATGTTTGACAACTAATTCTATGTACAGTATCTATTTGTAAATAATACACATTTATTTCATATATTACTACTTGACTATTTTTTCTATTTCTCGATTTATAATATAAATTTATTTTTACGAATTAAATATCTGAGTGGGATTGAAAGTGCTCGATTTGTTGTCAGAAAAAATTAATTTACGAATTCTAACATTGCAGTGAACTTTTTTTTTTTTGTTATATCATTACGAATTCTTCTATTAAAAATATAATGAATCCTCTAAACACAATATTTATTTCATCACTACTTCATTATAATAAAGATTAATATTTTATAAAACATAATATAAAAAAATAATATATAACTTGAATTTTTTATTTAGAAATATAAATATAATTATGTAATAAATAAAAAAAATTGTTTATTTAGTTGTTAAAGAGGAACATAAATGTATTTAATTATTTTTAAAAATATAGAATTTATTTTAAGTTATGCCTATTATTTTGAATTAATTATTGTTTTAGTTATCAAGTTTATCAATGTTTTTAAAATATAATATTTTTCTTAAAGGTCGGAAAAAACCAAAATAATATTAATAATAATAATATTTTTCAATATAATTATGTTTTTAAATATTATGTTCAAAGAATTAAAAGAATAGTACTTTAGGTTGATCTTTAAATATGAAGTTGAAAAATGTTTTCATCTCACCCCCCCCCCCCCCTAAAACATTGTATATACATAATAACATACAAAACCATATGACCATACAAAATATGGATCAATCGGATAAAGTTAACCTGTGCCTGTTTGAACTTGAAGTTTAAAGTTTTAAATTTTCAACAGTTTTGAAATATTTGTTCTTATGTCGTAAATCGTAGGTCAAATTGAAATTTAATATGTTTAAATAAAATTACATTTGCAACACTTTTGAACCGAAAGAATGGATTAACAACCTTGCGTATAATAAAGGAGCAAATATTGTAGCCCATATTAATGTTGTTAATGATACGGCAGAAAGAAGAATGAAGCTCGTTGAAGAATACAACAGCATTTTAACTAAAGGTGAAGAACAAAAACAATTTCTACTATAAATTGTCAAAGATTTAAAATTAAGTATAACAAATCAACACTACAGTTATATTATGCTATTAATTATTATTAATTATAAAAGTATATTTTAACATATTAGTTTAAACTTCATTATATAGTAAAATTTTAATGTACTACATTTTATTTTAGATAAAATATGTAAACATTTTTAATTTTTAAAATGTTCACGGAAATGTCAAAAGAATAGACATTATATTAAAGTACAATACATCTCACCAAAAATTGAAAACATTGAAAAAATCATAGAACGAAAATCATCACAAATGTAGTTTAATTTAATTTAGTATTCATAATAAATTTCAATTTGACCAATGATTTATGACATAAGTACAAAACTTCAAAAATGTTGAAAACAATTAAAAGTTCAAACTTTAATTTTAAATAGACACGGATTAACTTTGTTCGATTGATTCAATATTTTGTGTAGTTAATTTTTGTATATATATATATATACACTGTTTTAGAGAGTGAGATGAAAAGAATTTTGATTTTTTTTTCATCTATAGTTAAGGACTCAATGTACATAAAAAAAGTAGAGAAAATTTTTTTAAAACTATTTAAAACAATATGTGATTACAGTACCTCTCTTCTAAATCCATTTAAAAACTTAAATTAGTGCCAACTGACAATTACCATTTAGCTTAAAACATTACAGCTAGTAAAATTGGCTGTACGTTTAAAAATAATCTAATACTATCGCTTATAACGCCAGAAAAAAATTAAATAATTTACTTTGCACAAATTAAATATAATTAGTTATTATTTTACAATTTCGTCTACCTTAGGAGTATTTATTATTAATTTATTAGATAGTTAACTTTAATTTAATATATTTAGAGAAAGATTTTAAAAAACATAATTAAATCTATTAAAGTGTAAACAATTTTATCAAATAATTTATGAATATTTTATGTAAGCATATACAAAGCTCTAAAATTAATTATTATTTTGCTTTCAGAATGTGAGTAAAATAAGTTAATACAACCGTGATAAATGTAAGCAAATTATTACTTATCACAAATTGGTTAATTAAAAAAAAACCTTAACACTCAAATTACTTTTGGAGAAATTAAGGTTCCATACACTCTTATTGGGTCATATAAATACAATATCATTGTCACTGTTCTATCAAGATGAATAAAGTCAAAGAATCGTGCCTAACTTCCAGTCCCTCAACATTCAAGTATTTAATGCGGAATCTAATGTATTTAATCTAATGGATATCTATTGATATGGCGAATGTTTTTATGAGTCTAACTATACGTCCAACAATATGTCGCGCTATAACATTCATTGTTATGTAATTTCACAGACTCATAATAAAGGATGCACACTACTGTATTAGCACTTACGATAAGCAGAAGATTTAAGCACTTATTACTTTAAATACATTGCTAAGGTGGTTGGAGGGAAGGCAATATTTTTTTTTTGGCAAAAACACGATGTAATATAATTTTGCCGACGGATGGACAAAAATGATTTGGCAAACTCTTTTCAGGTTGAGGTCATATGTTTTTCAACGAAAAAATCCCATTGGCCTTCTGAATGATCAACACTGCATCAAGAGAGAATACTCGTATAATACAAGAACGTAAACTAACTGTATAATAAAAAACACGTGTTTTGCGTTTCATCTTTAAAGCATGATTACCAGCAACGACTAATAATCGAAACAAATTTATATAAAATAAAATACATACAGATTAAGTTAAACGAGTTAATGACAATAATTCTAGCTATACATACATAAATACTTATAAGTTATAATGTAATTTGCTATTAGTAAGCGTTTTATATTCTCTTGTAATAAAATAATAAACTAATAAATTACTGGCATCAAGTACACGGTAAATGCATGTTGGACTCGATTTGTTTTGTTGAAAAAAAAAATCATTAACTACAAACGATCAATCAAGAAAAAATTAGAAGTGTTAACCATTTATCAAGCATACCTATATTATATACGTATACCAAATATTTAATCAATCAATGGATATACAAGTTTTTTTTTGACATTTCATTTGAAGCATAAAATCAAATGCGCAACAGTTGTTGTGCACTCGAATAAAACTCATCAAAAATGGATAAATCTCGGATACTTCTATTCAAAGAATACACTTTTTCAATACACAATTAAATCGCAAATTTAGAGTATTTTGGAAATTCAAATTACAGCATCAAATAAAATTATGTTATCAAATAAAACAGCAATATTGACTTATAGTGGACTTAATTTTTTGAAATAATTTTAGCTCAATGAAATATGTTATCAATAAATGAACATTTAATTTGTTAATAAATAACTAAAGTAAAATTAAATTACATTGAAGAGAAGTGTATTGATATTTAAATAATACCTACATATGTACAATTTGAAGTAAACTAAACAAAGGAAAATTAATAAAAATCTTAACAGTTTAGTAAAAAAGAATGTAAAAATGAATAAAATCATAGATTAAGAGGCAACTATGATATATTAAAAGTTACTTCTAATCAACGTTCTCATCATGTATTGACTAAATATTTATGATGCATTTTAAACAATCGATTTGTGTTCAAGGAAGACTAAAATTAAATACTGTAATAAAATATTGATCGAAAATATGTTCGTAGATTTGTGTGAAACACGGATTTAGTCAATATGTCTCTGGAAAGAGTAAACTAAATTTACATAAGTAAAACCCATTGTTGAATTGCATGCTTTACAACAATATGCTCATGTCAAAAAATATTAACTCGCTATTAGCCGATTTTGAACGCGATTGAGTAGAATAAAATGTGTAATATTTTAAAGTAGTATATTCGTTACCTGCTGTACCAATGCTCGAAATTGTTGACAACGCGTATATATTGTTCTTCCTAAAGAAATGCTGCGACCCGCCGAGCGATGTACTCGAATCTAGGAGTAAAACAACCCGTTCGGCGGTAATCGTTAGCGTCGCGACCGCGGTCCTCGTGCGCCCCGGTAAAACCGTGTACAGTGGTCGTGGTAACACGTGTGGTAGTTATGTAACGTATACACCATCTACTGCGAGCGCAGCGACGGCGAGTCGGTCTTGTACGAATATAATAATAATTACGACGCGTACACTGAAACACTATAATGAACGATGACCGGCACGCAAAATTTAAACTGACGCCGTAGACAAGACGCGACACTGGCTGCAGGCTAGTTGCATGTCGAGCCTGCGCGCACGACCGTTTTTTTTCTCTCTCGTCTCACATCCGACTCGACGTTTATAAATAATAATACGTGTATATGTATGTTCAGCGCGCGCGTGCTTTAATCCGATTCGAGTTCGGTAACCTGACGAGAATAAGAAGCAGATGGGGAGCAGAACATCGCATCATCACGTGGTATGTGTAGTATTAATAATAATAATCAGAATCAGAATCTGAATGTATTATAATAAAAACAACGGTCGCACGATGGCGGCTACGGAGCGATTACGCATTCGTTTTCACGGAATCTTCTCTTCTACCGCTCCTCCTTTCTCGTTCTTGCACATTGGTCAGTCACTATCTATTCGTGGACCATCATCGTTATCAGTCAGCGGCGCTGCGTCACGTTCAACATGAGTTGCAGACTTTTGTCAATGACGAACGCGACAGTCTGATGCAGTGGAGACACATAGAGATCTTGAGCACACGATTACTAATTACACTTTAGATGATGATAAATTTAAATAAATTATAATATTATTATATATATTATACAGACCGTAACTTTTTGAATGATGATGCAACATAACTGGACTCTTTTACATCACCCACAACCAAATAGTATTTTTATATTATTATACAATACATACGCATACACACACACACACACACACATACACGTTACCGATGACGAGCTAGAGTAAAGGGTCTAAATAGAACGTGTGACGCCGATGTGTGTGGAAATTATGTTTTAGGTCGTTGCCAGCGGAATCTTCGTAAGGGACCACCGTGCGTTGACGTCCGTTGCAGTGCTCGTTTTTATATTATATACCTCTACACGATCATCTTTTTACCATGCACGTGTCCAGGAAATTAATAGCGTGTTCGCAAATCGAAAATAAGTTGAAATCATTTCACCATCAGATCTTATATATTAAAATTCTCAAGTTTTTTATTTTTTATCCATCATTCGTCTTAACTTAACCACACAAAACTGTCATTATCTATTAGATTATCAAAAATTACTTTTTCTTTTTTATAAGTGTTAATATTATTTGAATTTGTCGATTTACTCGTGTCTCTAAATATTACAAAGTTTTAACGTAGCCTTAGAACTGCATGAGGTTTGAGGACTACTGGTTTATTCGATAGCAATGTGTGAAACATTAAATTTGTGTTATAAATTCTAACACAGAATATTAATTAAATCGGAAATTATATTATTATTAATAAATAAAACAATTTATTAAAATAATTTAAAATGTTGTCTACAAAAATTTTCAATTAAATAGTCGAGTGTTATTTTTATGTTTACCACGTCATAGATAGAATATCGCTATCATATCAATATATGAGAATTGTAAGGCTAAATTTTCTAGTACATAAAATCTATTATGAAATCAATATAAATATAATGAAGTATAAATATAATATTCTATACGTGTATAATGAAGCAAACGATTCAATTTTAAACATAGACGTTAAACAATATGTACTAGTTTTTTTTTAACATTTTCCAATAAAACCACTCTCACGTTTATTTCAAAATTTAAAAACAAATTTTTTCACATTGATTCTTTATCCTCCAAAATCTCTACTTTAATTAAATGTCAAAATAATTGAATTATCCAATCCAACTTCAAAATATAAAGACTTTAAGCTTTACAGCTCTTATGTAGAATAAACATATAGTTTTGTATTTAATAATAATAGTTGTATAATAATTATAATGGTTAAAATATAATAATTGAATTTTAAAATATTACTAAAAAAAAAAAGAAAAATAATTTGTTTCAACAAATATATATACATACATACATATATATAAATATTTGTATGTATCACCAGAAAACCACGATTAAAAGTTTTCTTTGTCTTTAAGGCTCCATTTTCTATACTTAAATATACATGTAAAAAGTAAATATTACATGAAACTAATTAATAAATTGCTGAAATAATAAAACAATTAAAAATATATTAAATTGATGTTACATAGAATGGTATACAGAAGAATAAGACTTCATGCTTACGGTTTTTTATCCTTCACGGTTTTGAAGATAGGTTTAACATATCCACTAATATGACATGTAGAGTATTCTAATGATGCAATAAATATGCAAAAAGCGTGGAAATTATATTTTAGCATGTATGTGTTACCAGAATTGTTGATATTCGATGTAAATTTGTTCAGTTTAGACTTGTTCATGATCATGAACATGAAGTTCACATTATACCTGCGGTGACTTTTAATTTTTCGTTTGTGTAAAATTTTATGATTTTCCTTAACATTTAAGGTTCTAATACAATAATTCTTAACCTGTGGTCTGCGGTCTTCTAGGGGTCTGTAATACTCATGTCGGTGATCAACGGCAGCCTTAACACATCATATACGTCATGAGTGCATTATTACAATTTTATAGTTGGATTATTATTATTATTTTTTTTTCATATATTTTTATTATATAATAGATAGATCTTATATTTATATGATCATATTAAGTTAAATTTTAAGAATATTTAAAAAATAAAAATGAAAACTAAAATAATTAAATTGAAATTAATTGAAAAATTAAGTGTAAAAAAAATATTTATAAATTGTTTATTATAAGTAATTTGTTATATCTACAAATATAATTTATTTTAAAAAATAGGGCGACCCAAATAATTTAAATAAATAATTATCATCAACTTTTAATTTGTTAATTTAATTTATGCATACTTTTAATGTATAAGGTTTATACTTTATGACATATTTTTATCGATAGCTATATAACTAATGAATGAGCATAATCTTAATAATAATTTATAAATATAACAACTATATTAAGAAAAATATTCATTAAAAATTAGGTTTGATCAAACCATATAAGTAAGTATTTAGGATTCAAAATACAACCTTTTAACATTTTAACAATTATGGATATTTCTTTGAAAAAATTACTCCGGAAGTTATTCATGTGATTGTTTGCTGCCTCAAATGTTCTTCTTCCTGCAGAGAACTTATTTCATATTAAAGAATCGAATCTTATTGTTCTAAATACTGATTAACTATGTATTTAAAATAAGTGATATTAATGGATTATCATTAAGAATGAAAGAAACGGAAACAGTATTTATATTATTATTTTATATGATTAAAAAAGTGATAAATCTTGACAGTAAATGGTCGACGTGTGAGAGCAGTATGACACAGAAAAATGACGTGTCTTTATATTCTACGTCGCGCCGTCTGCAGTTTTACTTCACCCATTGATGATGAAAATGACGTGGTCAGTTCACAAAAAATATATACTTTGTCTTATTTATGATTAATTTCTATCAAGTTAGTTGTAGCAAATAAAAATAATCACACTCCTTTCGAGTCTTGACTTTAGAATATCTTTTTAGAGAAAATATTTAATTGCTTAATATAACATTATTGAATGCACAAGTATAAATTAAACTAATTTTTTCTCGTTCAAAATGTCTTAAATTAGCTTAATGCTAAGTTTCAATACAGTACTCTATTTATTATATTATTCACACAATACTTGGATTTTCCATAACATTGAAACTTTGGCTGTGTTACTATAAAACTTTATATCAGAGATAATATTGTGCTAACTATATTAATTGGGCTTCATTCAACATTCAATACAGTCTTACTTTAAGATTTCATGGTAACTTTACGGTAGTGAACCAAGAGTTAGCAAAAACCAAAACAGTAAAATTATTTTGAGAATTCTATAGTTTTTATAATTGATTAAAGTTCAAAAATTATTTTAAAATTTGGAAAAATGTTAAAGAAAGCAGTCCTCATAAAAAAAAAAACTAAAACACTTCAACGTTTACGATATTCAATGATTTCATTTAATAAGTGACCAATCCCCTTTTAATTTAATAAAAATTAGTTAAAATTTACAGAGTTGAACATACATTATCATAACGGTTGTTGTTTTTGTAGACAAATTCAAATATTTTTGTATTAGCCATTAGCTACATTATAAATATTTATATCTGTTGATACGAATAAAATTGTAAAACAGTTTACCAAAACGACCAACCACATAATGATCGAGTTATAAATCACATTATATATTTACCGTTTAATTAATAAATCCATATACTTTAAGATGATTGATCGATATTAAATTAAAAAAAACTGTTATAATTTTAAAAATGTAATAGTACCTATAAATATAATGGTATTGTAGTTGATTGTTTTATTTTAATAAAAATAGCAAAGAAAATTCTTGAATATTTAAGTTATAAGAGTATATCTCTATAAAAATGTCTACAAAAACTTTAATTTACGAACGGATAGTTATATTATAGCTCAACAAAGTATCTGCATGAAAATAAAATAAATTTATATACATATATTAGGGCAGCCCTTACTTTTGAACTTTCAGATTTTTTAATTTTTCAACCCCTCATTTTGTTCATTATTAAAAGAAAGAAATTTGAGTTAAATTTTATCATAATTACTAATCCCCTTCAAGTATCACAAGGGGGTTGAAAAATTACAAAATAGTTTTGTTTAAATTTGTGTAGAAGGGATAATGAAAAATTCGAGAGGGGTTTTCCATATAAATTAGGCCAAATTAACATGCTATAAAAATTTTGGATTTTTGAAATTACGAGTACACGAAAAAATGAAAAAAATCTAAAAGTAATTTTCCACATCAAACTTTTGTTTTTCTCTACAACGGTAAAAAAATTAACTTGAAATATAAAAAAACATTTTACTTGGGTTGGTTAATCGTTTTTTGAATATAATCAATAAATTATTAAACTCATCGTAAGATTGTAAAAAACTTATATATATATATTTTTAATAAGAAAACATATTTATACAATTTTTCATACATCTTTTATTTTATATGAAAAATTTCATTTATTTAAAAAATTAACTTTTTGCGGTTTTTTAAGTATATCGGTATAACGGTTGATAATAAAACAAAATATCCCATGTAAGAACGATAAGAAATAAAATGTTCTAAAAAAAAAAAAAGTTATGAACTAAAAATTGCATTGGGTTGATTGTTTAATTGGAAGATTCGGATAAACGTAAGAAAATTAAAAATAAATATATATATATATATAATGTTAATACGAATATGTTAACTCAGTATTTTCAACATCTGGGTATTTGATCAATTTTTTTAAAAATATAAAGTCAATATAAGGTGCTTAATTTGCAGAAAATATTAAAGATATACAAACCATGCTTCAACGTATAATTTAACTATAAAAATATATATATCTCGAAATGGTATAACTTTTGTTAGAATAATCAAAGGTCTTAAACATTACATTTAAAAGTTGTACATAAATACTTTTTGTGTAATAATATACTAAAAAGTACATGTGTGGAGTTTCACTACGAGTGGAGTAATTCTTGTTAAAGGATCTTATACAAATTAGTGTGGTTTTCGATGTTTGAGACACCTAATGTTTTGAGAATTATCAAGTAGTAAAATAGCTGCTG